GACTCGGCAACCTGCCCAATCCAGCGGGTTCCCCGAGTTATGACCAAGTTACCCGAGTTATGGTCGGACTATCCGAGTCACTTCTTCCCCGAGTTAGAGGCCTGATCGGACCGAACAAGTGACTGGTCACCAGTTTCTGATTCGACCCGACCGGTCCGATCCGGTCCAGTTTTTAATACCATGCTCTTTATTTTTTATCATTCTTCTTATCCAGTCATTGGCGCAAATTATAGTGTCGTAAGGACAGACTTGCCGTGGCAAAGCTTTCTGCTCTGGAAAATGGAAATCATGTGCAAATTAATTTCCGTTCTGTGAGAGCTCGCTTCACTTTGATTTACTTGAACATTAACCTGTGTAGAAGCATTCACGAACAAGGTGGATATGCCATTTCTGAAACTGCTATCCCATTTTCTGCTTCTCACCTTCTTGAATTTCCCTTCCACTTCTGAAGTAGACATCCCTGCTTACTATGGCCACAACTGCACAAGGCATAAACACTTCACTTCCAATAGCCCCTACCAGTTCAACCTTAACACTCTTTTAATTTCCTTCTATTCTATGGCCTCCGGCACTAACACCACTCCTGAATTCAACACCACTAGCTTTGGCGGCACAAACACGGACGACGCCGTATATGGAGAGTACATGTGCCGAGGTGACGTCCCCACCCAGATCTGTTGAGATTGTGTTCAGGACGCCACAAATAGAATAGCGTTGATGTGTCCCTACGACAAAGAGGCAATCATCTGGTACGACGAGTGCTTCCTCCGCTATTCCGACCGCTCTTTCTTCTCCACCCTCCAACAACAGCCTGTCAGGTGTAGATCATGCTTATTACTCCTCGGTCCTTGTATTTAGGACTCAATTTTTAAGTTAGTTTTCATCCTAAATATAAGATCTATTTATCATATTTATCATTTTTTTTCTAAATTATCTTTATAGATACTCTTTTAATTATAATCAAATAGAAGAGAAAAATAAGATATTAAAAAAAAATTATTGTGGTGTTTTAAGAAAAATATGTCATTTTTCTTATAATTAATTAACTTACTTAATTTTCTTAATCTAATTAAACTAGTTAAATGAGTCTTATATTTAGGTTCAGCTCTCTAATGCCAACTGGAACAGATAAGACAGAAAAGGAATTGAACAAGACATTGAATGATGCGGTGGTGGAGGCAGTGACATCAGATACCAAGAAATTGGCAACAAAAGAAGCAAACTTGAGTACTGTAGGATCGGTATACACTCTTGCAGAGTGCACGCCGGATCTGTCCCCACAATTATGTGGTGAGTGTCTACATGGCCTGATAGAAGATATTCTGAACGAGAAAGACTACCAGATTGGTGGACTTCAGAATCCGAGCTGCTATTTGAGAAGCGAAAGAGACCGATTTTATTATAAGGGCAATCAGCCTCCCTACGGTGGTTCTACCTTTCAAGGTAACGTTACCATGCTTTTTTTTTTCCCCCCTTTCCTTTACTTTCCCCTTTCTACGCGCGAGTTGATAATTCGGCTATTTTTGTAAGCGGCCAAAAACCATGTAGAAGGAGAAAAGACTTCCTTCGTCGCTGGATTAGTACTCCCACATATTTGATTTTGCTCTGATTTAATTTTTACGCATGTTATGTTTTTCTTTCTGTAAGATACTTCATAATTTTGTCACTCTACATAAATTTCAAAAAACACAATAAAGTAAAAGTGTAAAATAAATTTATTTCTATATATTCATTAATGATTAGTATAATATATATATATAAGAAAACAAAAACATGATATATATATAGTTGAGTTCTTGTTTATTTATTTTTAATTGTTTCTCAAATATGTTTAAGAATTAAAAATATTTCGATGTATGTACTTTCTTTTTTTTTGAAGAGTTGGTTTTTCAAGGGACAATTATATCTAGAGCCGGGAATCAGGGCCGGCCCTTCAGGGCTGGCGGGCTTAAAAGGGCCGGCCCTCCAGGACTGAAATTTTAAAAATACCCCAATTTGCTAAGCCCGGCCCTTAAGCTACAGGGCCAGGGCCGGCCCGCGGGCTTTTGGCCCGTTTAAGGAAAAATACTATTTTTTTATATTTATCAAATTTTTTTATAAAAATATAAAAATAAACCAATGAAATTATTAATAAAAGACTAAATATGAATAAAATTAAGTCACAAATATAAAATATCATCATATATAAATATTCATCAACATCTAAGAACATCTAAAACATTCATTAACAAGATAACAATATCTAAAAGTTTTATCTATAATGCAATTGTGCAATAAATAAACACTATCATTAATCTTTTGAAACTTCATCATCACTATAATTAATTACTTTTCTTCATAAGTATGCTTTTCTTTCGCAACAAAAATATCAAGTTTTTCTTCTTTATAAGAATTTTATTTTTGAATTTTGCAATCTAACTATTATTTTACTTTAATGTGAGAAACATTGTTGTTGAAACTCATGAATTTCTAATTCAAATTATAGAATCACAAGTTATATAAGTATAAAAATATTCTATTATCAAATATATATATATAGTTTAAAAATATCAACGCATATAATATAAATCAAATCATTATTAAAGTCTAAATTAACTAATTTTTTAAAAATTTAATTGGATAAATTATTGTCTAAAACTAAATTTAATTTTAAAATGATAATAATAACTAAATATTTGAAATATTATTAACAATGTAAAAAATTAATAACATTAATATTATATAAAAAAATTTAAAAAATAAAAAAATTATAAAAGGGCTTAAAAGGGCCGGCCCGCGGCCCTCCAGGGCCGGCCCTTTTAAGCCCTCGGCCCTCCAGGGCCAGCCCTCCAGGGCTTGTTTCTCATTTTAAGAGAAAAATATCAAGCCCGGCCCTCGTAATTTCAGGGCCTAAACGGGCCGGCCCGATGGGCTCGGCCCGTTTTCCCGGCTCTAATTATATCCAACGAAATCCATCCTTCAGGATAGAGCCGGGAAAACGGGCCGAGCCCGTCAGGCCGGCCCTTTTAGGCCCTGAAATTATGAGGGCCGGGCTTGATATTTTTCTCTTAAAATGAAAAATAAACCCTGGAGGGCCGGCCCTGGAGGGACGAGGGCTTAAAAGGGCCGGCCCTGGAGGGCCACGAGCCGGCCCTTTTAAGCCCTTTTATATTTTTTTTATTTTTAAAATTTTTTTATATAATATTAATGTTATTAATTTTTTACATTGTTAATAATATTTCAAATATTTAGTTATTATTATCATTTTAAAAGTAAATTTAGTTTTAGATAATAATTTATCCAATTAAATTTTTTAAAAATGGGTTAATTTGGACTTTAATAATGATTTGATTTATATTATATGCGTTGATATTTTTAAACTGTATATATATTTGATAATAGAATATTTTTATACTTATATAACTTGTGATTCTATAATTTGAATTAGAAATTCATGAGTTTCAACAACAATGTTTCTCACATTAAAGTAAAATAATAGTTAGATTGCAAAATTTAAAAATAAAATTCTTATAAAGAAGAAAAACTTGATATTTTTGTTACGAAAGAAAAGTATACTTATGAAGAAAAGTAATTAATTATAGTGATGATGAAGTTTCAAAAGATTAATAATAGTGTTTATTTATTGCACAATTGCATTATAGATAAAACTTTTAGATGTTGTTATCTTGTTAATGAATGTTTTAGATGTTCTTAGATGTTGATGAATATTTATATATGATGATATTTTATATGTGACTTAATTTTATTCATATTTATGTCTTTTATTAATAATTTCATTGGTTTATTTTTATAAAAAAATATGATAAATATAAAAAATAGTATTTTTTCTTAAACGGGCCAAAAGCCCGCGGGCCGACCCTGGCCCTGTAGCTTAAGGGCCGAGCCTAGCAAATTGGAGTATTTTTAAAATTCCAACCCTGGAGGGCCGGCCCTTTTAAGCCCGCCAGCCCTGAAGGGCCGGCCCTGGAGGGCCGGGCCGGCCCTGATTCCTGGCTCTACTTCAGGACAGAACTTGCAGCTTCTCTCTCTAAAGAGGTTGGATGATGTTATTGTGATATCATGCCGTTGGTTATTTGGAAAGTTCTCAAATTAAATTAACAATTGAAAATTGGATCCAGTGAGAGTTCCTTCATATTGTTGTCCCGACTCCTAAAAGTCCAGAAAGCTTTTCCATGTGTTTCCTTTGTCACCCCCTTTTTTCAGCCTCCTACTTCGACATCAAAGCTATAAATTTAATGTTTTAATTCCTCAATACATTCTTTGCGTTAGTTTTTTCTTTTTCATAAAAATGGCACAATCCATTGCCCTCTATAATTTTTTTCCTTGGGATTGATTATGTATGTTCGTTCAAATTAAAGGTTATATACATGCACGCTTTTAATAGTTGTCACTAATTTGCACTAAAAAAAAATTCAAGGACTAAAGTCAAAGGAGATACGTCTTTGCCAATTTATTTTTTAGTTAACTTTTCCTATTTTTAAATTGAAGATGTGATTGAATTTTTAAGAAATAATTATCCAATTAAAGAGAGAGTTAACAAAAAAAAAATTTGTTCACCTTTCGAAAAACGAAAACAATTTACTCGTAATTAAAGTACAATGATGTTTCCTTACTTATTGAAGTATTAATTGGGTATTTATGAATTGTACATCAAGGCCATGACATAGTCATAAACATTTTGTTTCTTTTATTGAAAAGGGCTTGGAAGTCCTACTCTTGTAGACTGGAACTGCTCGACCACCGAAAGTTTTACTGCCAACGATCCCTACCTAAACAACCTCAAAAGTCTCACTCACGAGCTCTCCATGTCATCCAATGACACCAAAAGCAATGGATTCCACAGCACCACAGTCGGAAACAATTCCGACACTACCGTCTACGGCCTCTTCATGTGTCGGGGTGACGTGCCCCTTGGGCTCTGTCATGAATGCGTCAGTAACGGAATTGAGCAACTGAACTCTTTTTGTTCCTCTTCGAAGGAGGCTATCATTTGGTATGACATGTGCATGCTTCGCTACTCCAATCGCTCTTTCTTCTCTACCCAAGACACACAACCTATATATACAGAAGCTGCTGGGGATATGCTTGGAAACCAAACAGATGGCTTCAATCGGCTATTAGCTGCTACATTGAGTGGTCTAGTGAAGGCGATATCAAACTCACCGCCCGTAGGAGTGAAGAATTTTGCGACAAAAAAAGAAGTCAGCACTTCAGAGCTTACAACGTTGTATACTCTTGCACAATGTACTCCAAACCTGTCTAGCCAAGATTGCCAAAAATGTCTACAGGATGCTCAGGAACTTATGACGTCATGTTGTCTTGGAATGCGAGGAGGAAAAGTCATGAGTCCTAGCTGCAACTTGAGGTTTGAATCGTACCGATTTTATGATGACAGTAAAAGTGCTGTTTCGATGCCTCCTGCACATCCCCCGACTCCCGAAGTTCACATTTCGGGAAATACAGGTAAAGTGATTGAGGATCTAATTAATCATTTTTCTCACGGACATAGTTCACTACATATAAATTGACATTCTTAGTTTGCTCTCAATTTTCTACATACAAATCTGCTCCATTTCTTGTCTATGGCATGCAAATACACACGTGTTAATTTACGCAGGAAAAGATCAGGACCACTCACGAACAATTATAACAGCGGTGTCCCTTACTGTTGTCTCAATCATGCTTTTTTGTTTCGGCGTCTATTACTGGAAGAGAAAAAAGAGCAACAGTTATAAGGCAATTCTGAAGAAAAATTGTATGTATGCTGTTTTTTCTCAGAAAAGAGAAAGAAAGAAAGACGAGTCAGTCGACTGTGAGAAAAACTATGTTATTGCGGTGTACTTACCTTAAAATGTACATATGTTTATAGTCGGAGCTGAAGGAGCCACATTAGAGTCATTGCAATTCAATTTGGCAACAATTGAAGCTGCAACAGATAAGTTCTCACTTGAAAATAGAATAGGCAAAGGTGGATTTGGAGAAGTCTACATGGTAAATTGATTATGCGATCAAACATGTCTATTTATGTATATTGTTGATTGTACATAAAGAGAGCGTCTACTATATTATGAAAATAGATTGTCAGCCCCTCATTATCTAACTATATTATGATTTCAGGGCATTCTTCCCGATGGTAGCAAAATAGCTGTAAAGAGATTGTCAGAAAAATCAAGTCAGGGCTTATTAGAGTTCAAGAATGAGGTTTTACTAATTGCCAAGCTTCAACACAGAAACTTGGTTGCATTATTAGGATTTTGCTTGAAAGATCAAGAGAAAATACTTGTCTATGAATACGTTCCTAACAAGAGCCTCGATTACTTTTTATTGGGTTCGTCCCTTCTAATCAAACTGTTCTTACCATTTTTCAATTTTCCATTCATGTATGATCCATTCTTTTTATTACTCTAAGGTGAATATATATTTATTGTATAATCTGTAATTTGATTTTAGACATAAATATATACATCGTGGTTCAATTGTATGCTCACAAAATAATTTAATTATTTATAGGTTCACAAAAGTCAAGAGTGTTAAATTGGCCAAAGCGTCACAAAATTATAGGAGGAATTGCTCGAGGAGTTCTTTATCTTCATGAATACTCACGTGTTAAAATAATACATCGAGATCTCAAACCTAGCAATATTTTGTTAGATGATGAGATGAATCCGAAAATTTCTGATTTTGGAATGGCGAGAATTGTTGGCATTAATGAAACTAGGGGAAACACGAATAGAATTGTTGGGACATTGTAAGTTCTCTATCTCTATGGCCTTGTCGCCCTTGCTCTACATGTATATGTGTGCGCTTATGTACGTATCTTAGTTTTTTATGTATATTTTGCATGTGCACTTTAATTTTCTATTGAATCTAAATATTGATGCAAGACTTTGCTCAAATTATGTGGGGCTAAAATTCCAACATACATTGATGCATTTATGTCTGATTTTTTTTTTTTTGTAGGGGTTACATGTCTCCAGAATATATCAAGTTTGGACTATTTTCTGAGAAATCAGATATTTACAGCTTTGGAGTCATTGTTTTAGAAATTATAAGTGGAAAGAATATATCTTCTCAATGTGAATCACATGAATCTCAATATGCTGGTGGACTCTTAAGCGATGTAAGTATAGTAAACTTTTAGTGTTTCTGAAATGATCATCTCAAACCGGTCATTGTTTTTGTCATCATAAGCATCAAACAACCATTGGAGCTTATGTTAACAAAAATCTATAATCAAATTAGTAGCATGCCCTATTTTAAACTAATGATTTAACATAATGGCAGGCTTGGAAGCATTGGAGGGATGACAATTTGATAGCGATATTGGATTCGAATTTGACAGAAGCTGGGTCACATAGTGAAATAATCAAATGCATCCATATTGGCTTGCTGTGTGTTCAAGGAAATCCAGGAGTTAGGCCTTCCATGAACAAAGTTGTTCAATATCTGAGTAATGATTCAATTCAGTTGCCAATTCCTCAAGAACCAGCATTCTTCATCCATAGTCAAATGGAACCAGCGGAAAGCAGTAGGTCAATGGAGGCTCAACTTGCCAACCATAATCAATATTCCATCAATGAAATGTCAAAGAATATAATATCTCCTCGCTAGATCGCAGGGGACTGCAACTTTTGTTTTTCTCTGCTTGAGAATTGAAGGTTTAGAATTTTTTCTCTTATTGCATAACAAGCGTGGCTTTATTTTTAAAACATGCTTGCAATGACAATTTGATTATTTTAGACTTGGTTTGCTTTCTGGCCCATTTTTCCTTTGTCTGCCGTCCATTAAGAGGTCATGGCTCTCTAACCTTCTTTCAACTAAAAGGATTAACATTTGCTTCAATTGGATCCATTAGCAGGCTTCAACCATCCAACAAAACAATACAAACTATGAAAGCTAAAGTTGATGAACTAGGGGCAAAATATTAACAATTAATCATAAATCTATAATTTTAGTGCAAGTATCAACTATGCATATTTTCCTATCATAAATACTTTTAAATATACATTAATTCACGAAAAAGTATAATAACTAAGGGAAAACATGATGAAATAACATGAATTTCACAAGATTATATAGCAAAGGCTCTATCTTTGTATGTGGGCAATACTTCAATCTTGTAGATACCAAACTAAGCAATTGAAGTTTAGGAAAAAGAATAAATAAAAGCCTTGTCCTCGGGAGTAAAAGAATTCACTCGACAACACTTCATTTCAGAGCATGATTCTTTATTTCCAAGTCAGTTGGTAAGCTCCAGATTTGACAATGCCATAAAAAAGCATGTTTCTGTGGAACTGACAATTAAATTGAATCATCACTGAGATCTATATAAAATAAAACAATTCTTGTTGAAACTAGTTTCAATACTCATTATCGTGATGAATACTATAATACTCATCAAATCTCAACTATTCCAATTTAATATGAGTGGCTAAAATTTAATTTTTGATATCTTTGTTTTTAAAAAAGTTTTCCTTTAATAGATAGATGATTCAAAATAAATGTAATTTTTCACCTATAATTTTTTTTAAAAATAATTTCTTTATTTAAAAATTATTAGTTAAAAATTTTAAATCTAGACCATTAAAACCATATCTGAATGGTAGATTTTACTGTAACGATGAGTATCTCGATGTTCACCATTGTGATGAGCGCCAAGACTGGTTCTAATTGTAACCATACACAAAGGCTTGATTTGCATCTGGATTTTCTTGAATAGAAAACAACTTGATGCAAAAGGATGCACTTAATCACTTCATTACATTATCTGAATTCATTATTTATGCTTGAATCTAATATCTCTATCAGCTTTATCCTACCCCCATTGATTACAAGTTTGTAACAATTAAGTAAAACAAATTATTATAATAATCTCCCATTCATTATTAATTGCCATATATGTTGAATATCCAGAATATTACCTGTACATTACATATTTTGAAGACATATAAACACTGAAAAAGAAAAATATTAATAACAACATTAATTGAGACATTCAATGATTAGTTGAGATGTAAATTATTGAATCTCTTCAAATGAACACTTATTTTTCTTCATTTAACTCAACTATATCAAAACAGACACTATAAAAAAAAAAGAGTTTAGGCAACGACTTCCAGCAGCGACAAAAAAAATCACAGCTGAAAGTCCACTTTTAGCTGCGACACCAAAAAGTCGCCGCTGAAAGTCTTAGTTTCAGTGGCGAACTTTCAGCGGTGATAAAAAAAAGTCGTCGGTAAAAGTTCACTTTTTTCAGTGATTTTTTTTGTCGCTGCTGAAAGTGTAATATAATAATATATATTTTATTTTACAATATTAATAAACAAATTCAATCTGGCTCAGCGACAAAAAGATTGGATACAAAAGGAGGTGGTCACGAGTTCAAACCTTGAAGAAGACACATTTAAGGTGAAAATATTTGGACAATAGCGTGGCGGGGAGGAGTGATGTGGCAATGACGTGGAGGTGGCTAGTGATGATATGGCGGCCGGCGGTGATGATGTGGCAGCCGGCGATGATGACGTGGCAGTCGGCGGTGATGTCGTGACATTAGTAAAGCAAATTCTTCTTAAGCATTACTTTCAGTGGTCCTTTAGCGGCGATAAGAATGTCGCCGTCGAAAGTGTCTTTCAGCGGTGACATTCTTGTCGCCGTCGAAAGTGTTTTTAGCAGTATCTTTCAGCGGCGACAAATGTCGCGACTGAAACTTTTAAAAGTCATCGCTGAAAGTGTCTTTCAGCGGCAACCTTTTTAGTCACCACTGAAAGTTTTCAGCCACAACTGTTATGGCAACGACTTTTTAGCGGCAACAAGTTGCCCCTGAAAACTTTCAGCAGCCACTTTTATACTTTCAGCAGTGACTTTTTATCGCCGCTGAAAGTCAATCTTTTCATAGTGAGATGTAGAGCTTAAAGAGAAAAGATTTAGAACTATGTCCCAACTATTTTATTTGTACTTCCTTCATTTGTGTTGATAGTAACCATTTTAGCTAAGCCAACATATGATATTTTTGGATTCACTTTATCATCTAATAAAATATTGCTTGGTTTGATATCATGACGTATAATTTTAAGATAGGAATATTCATTGATATAAAAAAATTTCTTGAGCAACTCCTGCAATGATTTTACAACGCTCTACCCAATTTAGTGCTTTGCCTTTTTGGAAACCTGTACATTAATTGTTGCGAGTGATTATATATATAGAGACAAAATAAAGGTAATCTAGTTATAGACAATTAATTCCAACATACATCAGATAGCGTGAACAACAAATTTCAGTAAGAGTTAAAGAAGGTATAGATTGTCAAAACAAATAAAAGTTAGTCAAGGTTCCGAACATATTCATAAACAAAGATTTTCTCTTGTTCTTCTATGCAAAATCCAAGCAAGGCCACCAAGTTTATGTGCTGAAGTTTGGCAATCAATAAAACCTCGTTCTTGAATTCTTCTCCACCTTGACCAGAATTTTTTGAAAGTCTCTTGACAGCTATTTCTTGACCATTTGAAAGACCACCCTAGAACCATAGATGATTAGATTAAAAGTTAAGAAACATATATAAATGTGTTCGTGTGTGTCTATGTGTAACATTTATACTGATGACATGTGTTACCTTGTAAACCTGTCCAAATCCACCTTGGCCTAAACATTTTTCATGAAAAAACTTATTTGTTGCAGCTTCAATAGTGGCCAAACCAAGTTGTAGAGGCTCTAAATTATGGCTTTCATTTCCAACTAGACACAGAGAAAATAGTAAAGGATGCTGAAAGCAATAAAAGCATCGACACAAAAGCTCTTTAGACAAGCCGAATTTTATGGATAAATAAAAATTTGTCCGAGAACAAAAATTACTTACAGTATTTTTGTCTGAGAAGAGTGTTGCGTCTCTTCTTGATTAGATTCTTTGAGAGATAGTAGGCGACACAAAAACAAAATTCCCAGACACCAACAGAAGAAACCACAACTACCATAATAGTCCCTGTTGACTGACCTTTCCCTTTTACTGCGAAAAGTCAAAAACATCATATACTTCCACGTCTCAATGTAATGACATCATATGATAATTGACTGTATCCCGTAAGACCAGGGGATCATATTCACATTCTGATTAGATTCAATTTTCCTCAGCTGTCATGTTATTTTTTGAAAATTTATTTTGATGCCAAAATCAGCATAATCTTTTTCTTTAATAGATGTACCCAGATATGCATTTTAAAATAAAAATCAGAAAAGCGTATTAGGTACTCAGCAAACAAAAAAATGTTTAAGTTGAATTTTACCTTGAGGATCTGAAGAACTTGTTGGAGGAGAAAGTGCAGGCGGTGTAGGCGCCGTCGCTTCTGGCTGATCATCAGCCTTATAAAAAGGATAAGAGTCATAGCGAACGTTGCAACTCATAGAACTCTTCCTCCTTGTTTTCCCAAACAGCACCATGTTGAAAGGTCTCCAATCACAGCACTCAGACAAATTCTGCAATCTTGGGATGATAGGTCCTGCGTGCACCGAAGTAGAGAATACGTTGTTCCGAACCCAGATATGCTTGCTTCCCTTGTTGCATATTTCTTAGTGCGGTTAGCTGCTTCATGGTTAATCGTGCTCAACAATATCTGCAAGAAGCTCAGCTGGGACACTTCGCCGGTGTTCAAAAGGCGCAGTGTAGGCCTTGTTTCGACGGTGGAGAACAAGGGATGGTTCGAATAGCGAACCATGCACTCGTCGTACCAGATTATTGCCTCCTTCGAAGTTCTGCACTCGGAAGATAATCTTTGGGTGGCGTTAAAGACGCATTGTTTCAGCTTTGCTTTTATTTATTCTTTCCCACCACCCTTTGCTTCTTCACTTTTCCATCGTTTCTGTAAAATTTTCCAATTTCAGTTGAAAAATGAACCTCAAAACTCATTGGAAAAACCTACCGGGCCGGGGTGGTGCACGGATTCTCTTTAGCGACAGCAAGGTCATTTACTTTGTAAACTCTTGTTTATTTAATGTCATTTTGTCTTGTTCCCAAAAAAATAAAAACACCAAAGTCATTTTACGCTATTTGTGCTTTAAGCTTTTGAAAAAAATTAAAATTAAAAGTTTGTTTCTGACTTAATTGTTTAAACTTTAAAGATCTCGTTCATTTAATTTTTTTTAAGATCTGTATTCAATAATTTATATTTATAGTCCCCACGGATTAACATATCATTCATTCCTCTAGATAAATACATAAATTTCTAATTAAATAAAAAGTTTTAAGCAGTTGTACAGACGAAATCTCGGATGCTCACATACGGACATACGCATAAGATTTCCCAGCAGCTCAAAATTAAATTTTGTGTAGTGCAATTATTATTATCTGAAAACAGATACTACTACAAATGGTTTTAAATTAGTAAACGTTATATGTTACTGTTTATGACGATAATTTCATATCAGACATATATTTGAGTAACCTTGCTCGTTAAATAAAATACTCTATTAATTTGTTCTCTGTAGTTATAAATTAGTCGGCGGTTATATTTGTTATTATGTTTCAATTTACACCTCGTATGTACTCCATGACAGATGCCATGGAGAAACTTAAAAGCAGAGCTGCAGGATGGATGGTGATACTGACGTCATTCTTATTCATCTTGGTAGTGCAAGTCTACACAGCCAGTTTAACTTCAATGTTAACACAGGAAAAGATGAAAGTGCCTTCATTTGAGAACGAAAAAGAGCTTATTAAGAATAGCAATCTGCATGTGGGATATCAAGATGGGTCGTGGGTGAGAGGGCTTTTGATTGAACAAATAGGATTCAAGCCTGAGCAGTTAAGGCCCTTAGGACATCGTGAAGAGTACAATAAAGCATTGTCAAGTGGAACTATAGCTGCTATCTTTGATGAAACTCCTTATCTCACGATCTTTCTCTCCAAATACAAGTCTCAGTTCATGATGACAGGACCACTCTACAAAATCGGTGGATTTGCCTTTGTAAGTCTACTTACTCCACTCTTCTTGATTACTACAAGGTAAAGTTAACCAATTAATTTCATGTTTTCAAGGTAATTTACATAAAAATGTGAGTATCATCAAAATTAATGACCCCACAATAAAATGACGTTTAAGAATTGAAGCATGTGACCAACTTATTACCATTAAGGAAGGACATGAGATTAGAAAGCTTTAATTATCACATTTTCGCCCTACACTTAATTAAGACTAAGTAGGGCTTTAATTTAAAACTTTGACATATAATTAGGATGGGAGGGACTACCCCCAAATTATATGATTAAGATTTTTATTGCAGCTATTTAGAATCCACATGTGAATTGAATTCGAATATTGTCATTGTCAAGTCTCAAAAAAAAAAAAAGGAGCACCTTCAATATATATATATATATATATATTTATATCCATATATAAGGCTTGTGCAGTATAACTTTACCTAGTGGCTATCAAATTAAATCATTTGCTAATCAATCCATAAAGCATCATATCCATAAAGCATCATATGCTACTGGTTGAGCTATATATAGAACTTTAATGAGATGCCATGTATTTATTGTTTTTTTTCCCAGGCATTCCCAAAGAAATCTAGCCTGGTCTCGTATTTTTCGGATGCAATCTTAAAAGTGATTCAAGATGTGGAGTCATATCGGGTTCTAATGGCTAAGAGCTCTTTACCCACCTCCATTGAAGATTTGGAATTTGACGACCAAAGTGATATAGAGACGTCAGGTTTGAGCATCGGAGGCGTTTACATTGTCCTATCATCCTTTGTGGGCCTCTTTTTATTCCTTTCCATTATAAATCTATATTATAAATCCATTAGTGATTAAACGGTATCTGAATCCATCGTCCATGATTAGATGGTTGCGTAATAAGAAGCAGCATTTCAAGTTAGCTAAAGCTTGATTATAGTAGGAGTTACCGGCTAGTTAATCAGTAGCTGCTTATTAAACGCGTGATACAAGTGTATATAAAGGTCCTTGCTATCTTATCTACTATTCTGTATAATAATTTGTATTTTTTTAATTTTATGGCCAACTAGAAACATGTGTTAACTATCAATAAAAAACATGTCAATGGACTTGACATATTCAGTGTAACTTGTAATTTCAAGCAGTTGATGCCTATCTTTTTAAATAACTAAAAAGAAATGCCGCCTCTTATAAATAACAATATGCTACCATGTTATCTCCTAAGTTTTATATATATATATATATATATATATATAATATAACTATTTGATTAGGTGATATTTCAGTATTGTCCAGCCCGATTAGAAGTGGTTCTCTTATGGCCTTATGGTGACGTGATGTTCAAGTGGTCAAAACTCTTTTCACTAAAACTAGTACCTGTTGATGTGTGCATGCCAAAATGGACTACAATCAGTACTTGATGAATTGCACAGAACTGACAAGTGCGGCCTTTTTAAGTCGTAGGGATAATATTGTAGTATTCTAAAAAATTAGAAGTCAATTAATGTTACATTATTTAATAAATGGTTAATATAATTTTTAATCTCTTAAATTTGAATTTATTTTGGTTTTAGTTTCTAAAATTTAATCTGTCTTACAACATTAGTCCTCAGAAGTGTAATAATATTAAAATATACTAAAATGTTATAAACAACATCAAAGTGGTGACGCAGACTCACTAAATGGCACCTAGCTAGTTGAATCTTGTATGGATAATAGAAGGGGGAAAAAAAGAGCAGATCCTCAAAACTTAGCCTTTTAACCTCTTGTTTTTTTCTTTCTCACTATTCATTTTCAAGAACTATTCACTATGCTATACTTTGTTATTCACATAAAAATCTAGTTAAGTGTTATCTAGTAAGTCTACATTACTACTTTTAATATCATTGATCACATTTTAACAGATTTTAACATTGTTACACATTCAGGAACTAACATTTTAAGACACTAAATGCTAGAGACTAAAATCGTAAATTTAAAATTTAAAAGATTAAAACTAAAATAGGCTCAAATTTTAGAAATAAAAATTATATTAACTTATTTAATAAATACCAAGGTAGCCCCCCACAGGATGCTTTCACTTCCGGCCCATCAATTATCCCATTTCCTTCCCATATTAATTCACCATAAGCATATGCAATATGATCCACTTATTCTAAAATCACTCCACATTTCATTACTTGATACATTATGACAATGTACCATCAACACATCATCGTTGCTCACAAATCGTCTCCACTCAACTTAGCATTATTGACAAATACACCAACTTCCACAGCGCATGCTTTGACTATTCAACACTAACTGAACATAAGAATCACTGTTGGAATTAAAAGTTAAGCAATAACGTCATCATGCAACAAAAATTTCAAACCTCTAACTTCAATTATTCTGCCATCCTCTCTTTCTTTATATGTACCACATATATCTTGGCCCCCTCTCCATGTCAATTCTTCAGTAGAAATAAATGGGCTCGTTCCTCGAAAATAAGAAAGGATGCTCTGAAGAAAGCAAAGTGGTGAGGCGTAAAGCACGGCTAAGAACCTATTTGGTTTGAGGAGAGGACAGGGGAGGAAGGGGAGGGTGGGGTAGGAAAGAGAAAAAAGAGGTTTCATTCTCACCTTATTTGGTTTGATTAAATAAAAAAGAGAGAAAAATATTTAATGATCCCTTGTTTGATTCAAGAAGAGGAGAAGAGAAATAGTAATAATCAATTTATCATTTTATCCTTACATATTAGTTTATATTATATTATATAAATTAATTTACATCTCAATTAAATCATATAATTTAATAAAAATTCAGTATTATCATGTCAATATGTGCATTAAAAAATTGGTATAATATTTTTTTAATTCTAATTAATATAATAATATATTTGAAATAATCAAATTAACAAATTTTATGTGCTCTAAAAAAATTGAAATTTTATTCTCTTTAGGCTATGCTTTTTTTCAGCTTTAAAATATATTTAATAAATAATATTTGTAAAAAACCATTAATTGTATAATATTATAATTTTTTATTTAAATAATTTTTTATTTTTATAATAATTTATATTAATTTTTATTATAATATTTATATTTTTTATTTTTTACTTAGGATAATATATTTTTATTTAAAATAAATATTATGATAATATATCTTATGGATGGTTATGGAACATCAAAAAAATTATAAAGGTATAACGGTCCAAAAATTCAGTTCCCTTCTAAAAACTCTCAATTTGAAAAGGAGCTAAAATGGAGAGAAAGAGAGGAGGGAAAGGAGAGGGGTTCATTTGCTCTCTCCTCTCCTCTTCCCTCCGTTCTTCCAACCAAACACACTCTAGGAGACAAAGAGGCACGCCTTTGGAATGCCAGATATGGCCCAAGCCTTTGTCTCCCCTCTTCCATTTCTTATCCTGTTCCGCTTTTGCCTTTTAACTTATTCTCCCATTTTCTTCACTCTTCCTCTCCTTCTTCCACACGTGTCCCTCGCAGAAACCACTCATTTTCGTAACAACCATCATATTAACGAGTTCCCACCATTCCATTTTTAAAGATAGTTAAAGCATATCACCTGGCTATTAAAGGGAAATGACTCGTAGGCATAAATTTAGGTTTTAAATACAAATCACTTATTGTATTTTTTAATTCATATTTTTAATTTAATTTTTATTTAATTTTTATTGAAAAGAGAAAAAGAATGAAAAGATATGAGAATAATTTTTTTTAATTTAATCCATTTATTATTATATGAAAATGTTTTACAAGTCACTTAATACATATGGCTTTAATTGAGAGTATATGTGGATGAAATGAGAAACCAAATTTCATGCATCACGTATATTTTAATATTTCCATTGAATTGGTGTTTTGGAAAATTTTGACCTATAACACAAGATGTAGGAATTATTTCAACTCTGATATTTACAATTTCACTCCCTCCTGGCTCCTTTACTTCTATTACAAAATGCAGATTCTGTACTTTATATAAAATTTAAGAAATAGCTGGCAAAAAAATTTAAGAAATAATCTATATGTAGTGAAATATTTAAACAAAATGACTAATATATCGATAATGTTGATAAATGTTGATTATTAGATAAGAAGTTCACCAAATTCCGTAGGACATAAGTGAAAAATGTAAACTTCTTGATGCAAATTTTAGGAAAAATTAATTCATATATTTTCCCAGTTTTTAAGAAGAGTGATGTAAAACAAGAAAGGATTGGAAGGGATGAGAAGTTAGAGAAGAGAAAGAGAAGAGAGGACAAGCAGAGAAGCAGAGAGAATGGGAGAAAAACTAATTGATAAATTCTAAATGCCAAGTCTGATTACAAACTGAAACCCTAAACTATAAATAAAAGAAAGAAACAAAATAAATAAAAGAAATAAAATGAGGGGAGTGGGGGAGTGGGGAAGTGGGGTGAATGGAGTAACTACCCACGATCTAAAATAAACAATAAAAATAATTAATTAGTTAAATTAAATCTGCATCATTTCTCCCTAGGTTGGAAGAACTCGCCACTGGAGAGTTGGACAGCTGGAAGTCATCAAGGAAGGCAGGGTCTATACGACGGAATTCGTCCTCAGTGAGCCACGTGGCGTCTGCATCATTATAGCCTTTCCAACGAACGAGGTAACGACTGATGGGACCTGCTGGAGTGGATATCGTCTGCTCATCCATCACGGCGTCAATGGCTTGGGCGGGTGACGCAACCTTAGGCAACGGTGGAGTTGGGGCTTGTTGGGTCGGGGTACCTGCAGCATCATCAGAAAACAAAGGGGGCGGATCGAAAGTGCCTCGATAAGGAACAAGATCCTCAATATTAAATACTGGACTGATAGCCATATCTGGAGGTAACTCTAATAAATATGCATTAGGCCCTAACTTCTTGGAAATGCAAAACGGGCCAGAGGCACGGGCATGCAGCTTCTTGTAAGGCCTCTTTGGGAAACGCCCAGGCCGTATGCGAGCCATGACAAGGTCGCCAACATCGAACTCCTGGTGACGTCGATGGACATCGGCAGCTATCTTATACCTGTCATTATTTAAAGTTAACTTACGTCTAACCTCAGCATGAATATCGTGAAGGCGATGTGCAAAGGTCTCGGCGGACTCAGAAGGGCGAGCAGACAGGGGAAGGGGAACAAGGTCAATAGGCTGCTTTAGGTTGTAACCTTGAACAATTTGGAATGGGTTTTTGCCAGTGGATCTATTGACCAAGTTATTATAAGCAAATTCAGCTATAGGCAAGACTAAATCCCAGTTACCAGGCTTATCACCAACTAAACTACGAAGCAGGTCACCTAAGCTACGGTTAGTTACTTCAGTCTGTCCGTCAGTCTGAGGGTGGAAAGCAGACGAGAACTTCAATTGTGTCCCGAAGAGCTTCCAAAGGGTCTTCCAGAAATAGCTGACAAACTTGACATCCCTATCAGAGACAATCGTAGTAGGCAAACCATGAAGACGCACAACCTCTCGAAAGAAAAGCTTTGCCAGATGTGATGCATTGGTAGTCCTACTGCACGGAATGAAATGTGCCATCTTTGAGAATCTATCAACCACAACTAAGACAGTGTTGGGCCCTCTCATTGTCTTAGGCAACCCAAGCACGAAATCTATGCTAATGTCCTTCCAAGGTGCCTCAGGAATAGGAAGAGGCGTGTATAATCCAGTATTCCTCTTCTTTGCCTTGGCCATATGGCACGTACGACACTAGGAAAGGATTCGAGCAACATCACGCTTAAGGGAAGGCCAATAGAACCTATCTTCAACTAAGGCTGTAGTCTTCTGAACACCAAAGTGTCCTGCTAATCCTCCAGCATGCAATTCCCAAACAAGAAAATAGCGTAGTGACGTGCGGGGAATGTACAATCTCGACCCACGGAACAGGTAGCCATCATCGACAAGGAAATCCATATGATCGTGGAGGTTGCCATCTTTAAC